TTCAGAGGAAGCACGCCGGTAAATTCGTAATGTTAAGTCCATCAGAGACACACCAACGTCAACACACACGCAAACTACACACACAAAATACTCTTCCGGGTATTTAATTTTCGCTGGTGATTATTAAATAATATCGAAGTAACGCCATGCAATGGCTTTCCCCACAGTTATTAGCACTCCCAGCCCTATCTGAGTTTTTTTTATCTCAAGAATCTTAAATATTCGCATTTCTTACCATAGGGAAAACCCACAGCTCTATTACGTCCCGAAGAGAACTTTTGTTGACCTCTGAAAGTGCAAGTTAAGACAGCAGTAAATGAAATCTACTTAATGATAAGTAAACCATAAAAATATAAAAGTTTCACGTTATAATAAAGGAATTATTTGCACATAAATGGCATCAAGCAGCTTCTCTGAAACTTCGCGATGGCTTTTCTTTTGACATTAACGGTAAAATTAATGCAATCCTTTGGCAAGTGGTTTAATTTTAAACTGTTGTTTGTCAATCAACATCGACTAGAACCATCCAGTTTGGGGGGAGGGTGGGTTGGGTGAGTTCGTAGTGGCCTGCTAGTCCGATCCGTGCTCGGAATAATCTCTGGCAAGGCGGGCAGGGGATGGTTGCTGCTGTCGGTGGCCCAATGTTGCTCTTTCGAGTTAGCCAGCGTGTCTCAGCTCTGGTTATCCTACTGGCTTCGTGAGATTTAGTCCCCTTCTTGACAGCTGGTCTCCATGTGGCTCTGTCCTGGGCTGTCTGCACCCATTCAATAGGGTTGATGCTGAAGGCCTTTAGTTCCGCATTCAGTGAGTCTTTGTAACGCTTTTATTTTGACCTCCTTCTCCGAAGAATATCTGTTTCGGGAGCCGGTGGTCTTCCATGCGGGCTTCGCGTCCCATCCAACGGAGTTAAGATTGCATCAGGGTGGTGAAGATGCAAGGCAAGTTCGCTCTAGCTTGTCCCACCCACATTTCATGGCATTTTGTCTTGCCACCTGATGCCGAGGAGTTTCCTGAGGCAGGTTGTGTGAAAATAGTTAAGTTTCTTGGCGTGACGGTGGTAGACTGTCCACGTTTCACATCCGGTAGAGCAATGTCGAGAGGACTGCTGCGCTATATACCTTGACCTTCGTTTCTTTTAACCAGATACTAACTGGGTCAAAGATTGTTCGTTTCAAATCATTAAGTTCATTTGCCTTTGCCAACCATTTACCGGCAGCAGGGACGTGCGGGCACATGGAAACCCGTGACGAACGGTGTATTAATTTAGTTCCGGAGGCCCCCGAGATTGTAATAACTGCCCAAAAAGGCCCATGACGAATGCTCGTCACGTCGTCGCGGGCCAGCACGTCCCTCACCAGCAGTGATATATTTAAAAAAAATTATTTAACATAACTGAAATCGATATGCTATGCTTGTACGTTGTGAGTCGAATCAATCATGTTGATTTTCGACACCTGATTTGTGTTTGTTCTTGCAAAACTTTGACCTTCCCTGGTCGGCACTTACCCTATTTACGCCACTGCATCGACCTGGAGCAAATGCCGTCAATTAAAGTGCTATTGAAACATTTATTTGACAGACGAAATACTAAAATTTCAGACAGGCGATTTTTCTATGTGTCAACATTTTGGCTACTGATGGCCAACATCGTCCTGACTGAGCAATGAGATGGTCTATCTCCTGGGCAGTCATTCACGCCGTCTTTGTGGATATGTTATTTGGCCAGCCGGAGGATATCAATTTAAACATATATTCTTACAGTAAGTAAATACCATATGCGAATACATTCTTACAGTAATTACGCCGTATGCGAATACATTCTTACAGTAAGTAAATACCATATGCGAATACATTCTTACAGTAATTACGCCGTATGCGAATACATTCTTACAGTAAGTAAATACCATGTGCGAATACATTCTTACAGTAATTACGCCGTATGCGAATACATTCTTACAGTAAGTAAACACCATATGCAAATACATTCTTACATAAGTACACCATATGCGAATACATTCTTACAGTAAGAAAACATCGCATACAAATGTGTTGTGTAGAATACCCTCATTCAGCCTGTTACTCCCATCTTGATTGCAGCTCTCATGTTCAAGCATCTAGCAACATCTCCAATGCATCACCTCGTGCTCGTCCAGACATGCCATTAACACATAGAATGGATCCCTTTCTTACCTCCTTAAAGATATACTTGTTTAAACAAATTCATGGATTCACCCTCTAATGCACGGGGCTGTGTACTCGCATTCGCTGTAATAAAGCAATTTTTGTATTTAAAAGTGTAAGTCCCAATCTGTTTTGGTCTACACTCAGAAATGCTGGTGCACCTTTTTTTTCAAAAGCATCACTTTTTCAGAGCGTACCTATTTCAAAATATCCCCATTTCAAAAACATCCCCATTTAAAAACATCCCTATAACAAAACATCTCTATATCAAAAGATCCCTATCCCAAAGTTAATATGGTGCACACCTGTTCTTTCGCGAGGATACCAACCTCAAACAACTTTTACTTACAATTTAACTAAAGGTCAAACCCAGGGACTGAACACATATAAGCCATTAAGTCTTTTGGCCGGACGTTAATTGTGTGCAATGTTCCTTCCATTCTGATTCATAATTTTTCTCCCCGAAAGAAAAAAAGGAGAAAAAAAGGGGGATTGGAGAGACGGGTGGGGCTGAAAACAATTAAGACGTTTATGGCTTCAACTCTATGAACAAACTGTATGTGTCTATATTTCTCAAAGACAAATAACTTTCCTCATTTATCTAATTTGGTATGAAAGAATTGATAATAATTTCACGACTTTTTTAACCTCGTCAACAGACGTAGTCCGCAGGTTGCCAACTCGATGTTCACGTTTGTCTCATGTGTTTTATACAGACGTAGTCCGCAGGTTGCCAACTCGATGTTCACATTTGTCTTGTGTGTTTTATACAGACGTAGTCCGCAGGTTGCCAACTCTATGTTCACGTTTGTCTCATGTGTTTTATACAGACGTAGTCCACAGGTTGTCAACTCTATGTTCACGTTATTCTTGTGTGTTTTATACAGACGTAGTCCACAGGTTGTCAACTCTATGTTCACGTTTGTCTCATGTGTTTTATACAGACGTAGTCCACAGGTTGTCAACTCTATGTTCACGTTATTCTTGTGTGTTTTATACAGACGTAGTCCACAGGTTGCCAACTCGATGTTCACGTTTGTCGTGTGTGTTTTATACAGACGTTGTCCGCAGGTTGCCAACTCGATGTTCACATTTGTCTTGTGTGTTTTATACAGACGTAGTCCGCAGTTTGTCAACTCTATGTTCACGTTTGTCGTGTGTGTTTTATACAGACGTTGTCCGCAGGTTTCCAACTCGATGTTCACATTTGTCTTGTGTGTTTTATACAGACGTTGTCCGCAGGTTTCCAACTCGATGTTCACATTTGTCTTGTGTGTTTTATACAGACGGGGTCCACAGGTTTCCAACTCGTGTCTAACGGTCGTCTTGTGTGCTTTATACAGACGGGGTCCACAGGTTGCCAACTCGTGTCTAACGGTCGTCTTGTGTGCTTTATACAGACGGGGTCCACAGGTTTCCAACTCGTGTCTAACGGTCGTCTTGTGTGCTTTATAGAGTCGGGGTCCACAGGTTGCCAACTCGTGTCTAACGGTCGTCTTGTGTGCTTTATACAGACGGGGTCCACAGGTTGCCAACTCGTGTCTAACGGTCGTCTTGTGTGCTTTATAGAGTCGGGGTCCACAGGTTGCCAACTCGTGTCTAACGGTCGTCTTGTGTGCTTTATAGAGTCGGGGTCCACAGGTTGCCAACTCGTGTCTAACGGTCGTCTTGTGTGCTTTATAGAGTCGGAAAAGCTGGAGGATCTATGCGGCATGAATGTGGTTGTGCAGAGGTACATCAATATACAGTCTCACTTCCATGGCGGCGACACATGTGTTGTCAGTTTCTCGACAAAAGATAACCTAACATCGCTTACGGCCTACTTCCTGGAGTACTACGCGTCCGACAAATGCGCTGGTCCTATAAATATCTTCAACTCGAAAGATGAGCCGTTGTTAGGTAAGGTCAGCATCATCATTTCTTGTTGTTGTTGTTGTTGTTGACAGCATAAGCGTCAAACATTTAACTTCCCGTCAACCTATCGAGCTGACACTTGGAACAAAGACTCGTTGCCAATGACAACATTCTTTACAAAATTCAGCCCCAAGCGCTAACCCCAACCTTCAAAAATCGTTTTTTTTTTTTCTTTTTATTTCAAGAGGAAGATGAAAGAAATATGATGACACTGATTTCACGAGATACAATTCCCGAGAACTGAGCTGAATGAGATTCTTTTCGTTTTTTTTTTTTTTAAACGCAAGTGCGTTTGGTGTGTAATATTTTTTTTTTTGTTTTAAATGGTTGATGTAATAAAGTCTCCATGTAAAAGCGGGTGGGTCATTAGAATATTAATGCATTTCAGGGGCGTGGGCAAAAAAATGGGGGGTTTCGAGCCTTGGGGCCAGGGGGCGGGGTTAGCACTAATTGGGATTCTTATAAAGTGCGTTACTTGAATGCGTGTTTTATCACATGTTCAGCCCCCCCCCCCTTTTTTTTTTCATTGCTCGACATTACATTTTATAAAGGATGTATACGAAAAACTTTGTTTTTTAATCCGTTGTTTAATTACCCTTTTTTTTAGTACTTGTCAGTTTTGATTTAGTTTTCTTTGTTTACGTTTCNTTTTGTTCTTGTTATTTTTGTTTTAGTTTTCTTTTTTTTGTTTTCGGTAGTAAAATTTATTTGTTTGATTTTAGGGATATACGAAAATAAAAGTTTTCCAAAAAAAAAAAAAAAACGATATGTATGCTGTATTTAATAAATTTAGGGTTGCCCATTTTTGGGCATGACGTTGAAGGTTTGGTTGTAACATTTTTTTTTCCACCTGTTTTTTTCGCTAGGGCTCAACGGTTACTGTGGAACTAAGAAACCGAGAGAGTATTTCAACCTAGGAACACGTGGGTCCCTCCAGTTTGTTAAACCAGACAAGACGATAGAAGCTGAGCTGAGGGTGGTTGAGTACTCTAGGAAAAATGAATGTGAGTACTCTTGAATAGACTGATGATGGCCTAAGTCTGCGGTTCTCGACCTGTGTGGGTCGCGACCCCTTTGGGGGAGGGGGTGAACGACCCTTCCACAGGGGTCACCTAAGACCATCGGAAAACACATATTTATGAAGTACCAACGTAAATAATTGTATGATTGTTTTTTGTGGGGGGGGGGGTCACAACAACATGATGAACCGTATTAAGGGTCACGGCATTAGGAAGTTTGAGAAACACTGTCCTAAGTGAACGTGTGTATAGTGATGATAGATTGACGATACCCTAATTGGACGCATGCGCACTGTTGATAAAATTGATTGATGATACTTATAAATTCACGTGTGTAGATTTGATAGAACGAGATCCATTGAGTGAATTAAAGCTATCCAAGTGTTGAAAACATGAAGGTAATCTGTGACTGTAATTATTCAGTACTGACTGCTGCAACACACTGTATCCTTTTGCCACAGTGACAAGACACTTAATCAAAAAGTGACCCCCCCCCCAACCTTACGCTTAATGACTATATTATCAATAGTGTGTCTTAGTTACTGTAGATTGTATTTTAAGACAAAATAGTCTTAAATTGAAGCTAACACTGAATGAATTAGAATTCGCGTGATTTTATAAAGTTTGGAACAGCAAATAAATTAACGATTTGCTCATCTTCAAGTTAATCAATGTTCTTGAGACTAAGTCCCGCCACGCACATTGGAATATATCTAGTCATAATAACTCATTATCCCTTTTCTATCATTATAAGTTGCCTTATTTTTTTTTTTTTGGAATCATTCCTTACAGTTAGGACCGAAAGATTTTAATGCAATTTTCGTCCCAAGTCTGTAAGAATTTACCAGCGCTATCAAATCTAAATGATCACTAATAAACTCATTTCTCTCACTAAGGACGATGAGATTTTTTGGTTGGTATATGATGGCTGATTTTTACGCTAGAGAAATACTTAAGATGTCTTGTGTTTAAATTGTTCTAATTGTAAAATTTTGTCTTGGAAATCAAGATGTATAATTCAATTGAAAAATATGTTGCTTTTTTTTAATCAATATAAGAATCTTACCTCACCTTTTATGCCCCTGCCTGTCCCCTATCTTACCTCACCATTTATGCCCCTGCCTGTCCCCCATCTTATCACACCTTTTATGCCCCTGCCTGTCCCCTATCTTACCTCACCTTTTATGCCCCTGCCTGTCCCCTATCTTATCTCACCTTTTATGCCCCTGCCTGTCCCTTATCTTATCTCACCTTTTATGCCCCTGCCTGTCCCCCATCTTATCTCACCTTTTATGCCCCTGCCTGTCCCCCATCATATCTCCCCTTTTATGCCCAAGCATGTCCCCCATCTTATCCCACATTTTATGCCCAAGCATGTCCCCCATCTTATCCCAAATTTTATGCCCAAGCATGTCCGCATCTTATCTCATCTCCCCTTTTATGCTCCACAGCTTGTCCCCCTGACACCTTCGACTGCCAATATCAAAATCTCTGCATCGCCGGGAGCCTNCTTACCTCACCGTTTATGCCCCTGCCTGTCCCCTATCTTATCTCACCTTTTATGCCCCTGCCTGTCCCTTATCTTATCTCACCTTTTATGCCCCTGCCTGTCCCCCATCTTATCTCACCTTTTATGCCCCTGCCTGTCCCCCATCATATCTCCCCTTTTATGCCCAAGCATGTCCCCCATCTTATCCCACATTTTATGCCCAAGCATGTCCCCCATCTTATCCCAAATTTTATGCCCAAGCATGTCCGCATCTTATCTCATCTCCCCTTTTATGCTCCACAGCTTGTCCCCCTGACACCTTCGACTGCCAATATCAAAATCTCTGCATCGCCGGGAGCCTGACCTGCGACTATTACCCCGACTGCCCCAAGGGCAGGGACGAGCAGAACAAGTGCGCCGACAACACTCAGGTCGGGTTCTACGTCTTCTTCGGGGTCCTCGCCACGCTCTTCTTCATCTGCGTCGGCGCCGTGATCTTCTGCGAGGAGATGAGTCGGCGAAGGCGCGTGAACCAGCCTCTCAACCTCGGCAACACGGTATTGCAACCCCACCCGTTCGACGGCGGCAGCATCACTTCGGCAGACGCTCCACAGGCAAACTCGCAGCCCTACCCGATTAACAGGACTCCCATGACCTCAGTTACTAGCGCTACGGAAGCCATGAGAGGTTCTCAACTTATATTTCCATTTCATGAATCCCTTGTATGATTTTTTAATTTTTTGTTTTCTTCTGTGAATCATGTGGCTGTCAATACCAGCTGACTTTTTACAATGGACAAATTTAAATAATACCCGACGCCATTTTATCCCGCCCCGATTTTAGCTTGAATATTTTATTATGGACCTTGCTTCTTTCTAAGCCTAAAATGTTATCTTATAATAAGCAACAACTTGATATCGTCCCCTTAAATTTACAGTAATTATTAGAAACGAAAATCCTGTTTGATAGCATTGTGGTAAATATTCTTGTAAATACCACATTTTCTTTAGAATCCTTGTTTGATTAGTTGAATCAAGTCTCGGACATGTGAATTTTATTATTTACGTACACAATTTTGCATAAACTCAATTTCCTTGTTATCTTGTCTCATTGTTTTTTTTTTTTTTTTTTGTTTTTTTTTTAAAGCAAATTTTTTTTTATAACGGGCAACATCTGCTATAGAAACCCCATCACTGAGACCCCCCCCCCCCGTGCCCCACACGTTTCTGTTTTTATGAGGGCTTTCAAATTTTCAAATCACTTCTAAACATGTTATTACTACCATCAATAAATGATGTATACTGGCTACTGGTTCATTTTCATGGCGTACGTTTCCTTTTTGTTGATGACTTATCGACCTGTGTCCAGCTTTATAATAATGCGCAAAATTGATTTTTTGTTATTTATACTTCCATGTANTTTTTTTTTTTTTTTTTTTTTTTTTTTTTTTTTTTTTTTTTTGTTTTTTTTTTAAAGCAAATTCTGTTATAGAACGGGCAACATCTGCTATAGAAACCCCATCACTGAGACCTCCCACCCCCGTGCCCCACACGTTTCTGTTTTTATGAGGGCTTTCAAATTTTCAAATCACTTCTAAACATGTTATTACTACCATCAATAAATGATGTATACTGGCTACTGGTTCATTTTCATGGCGTACGTTTCCTTTTTGTTGATGACTTATCGACCTGTGTCCAGCTTTATAATAATGCGCAAAATTGATTTTTTGTTATTTATACTTCCATGTATTGCAAAATGCAAATCAAATAGTTCGTCAGGAGCATAAATCCCAATTTAATGAAGGCCATTACTGACGCGCTACCATTTTCAACACCACACACGCCAACCCCCACACCCCCCCCCCTTTACGTTTGACACTTAGCACCTCTCCACCGACAAGCCTCTATCCCGATTGTTAGACACTTAACACCTCTCAACCCACCCGCCTCTAACTCAATCTGAAGACCCACCTTTCCATCCACACGCCTCTAAATAGTCCTATGAAATTTAACATCTCTCCAAATACAGCCACTTTCACTGGCCTTAAAATTGCTGAACAAATCCACACAGATTCTTGTTATCAACCTTACCAACTCCCTCACAGCATCTTGTTATCAACCTTACCTACTTCCTCTTATCTGAATACCATCTGTAAACCGTTCTTATTTGAACATGAGTTAGGAGATCTAAGATACATTTACAAAATAGATGTAAAAACTTTACCACAGTTTAATTAACTATCTGAGGGATGACGCGGCTCATTCCGAAAACCGGGTGGTCTGGAGTTCAATCCCCATCCAAAGCCTGGACTACCAGAAACATCCCCAACATCCGGGTGTGTGGGGGAGGGGGGGGGGCTCGTTAACTCGTCTAAGCAGGTGAACTCTGAAATAAAACCCAGAGATGGAGTCCCTTAGACGGGTAACAATGGCACAATGAACATTCCGGCAACTCCTGCAACGCGAATGGATCCAAAATGTGTCACTCTCGTGTGATGTTCCCTGATAAAGTCAACCCATTTTTTTTTTTGGATATCAAGTTATTTACTTTTGATTTCAAATTGAATGAGCCATCATTTCTGTCTATTATTATTGGGCTATACACATCTTTTCAGTAAAGACTTAACAAATAATGTGTAACGAAATAAATGGAAAATTAAATACATGAAGAATGAAATAAATGAAAAAATAAATAGATGAACAACGAAATTAATCAACAACGAGATAAATGAGCAATGAAATAAATAAGCAATGAAATAAATGAGCAATGAAATAAATTAGCCATAAAACAATTGAACAGTGAAATAAATGATCCATGAAATAAATAAATAACTGAAAAATGGGCAATGAAAAAAAAAACATGTAACGAAATAGATGAACATAGAAATCAATAGATGATTTGAGAGATTGTAACCAAACTGTAAAATGTAGGTAGCTAGAGATCACACAGTACGCAAGATTTGAGGACACGACCAGCTATATACTGAACAAACCATCCAACGTGATGGTGGCGCAACACATCAAGACACATACCTTCACAATTATTTGAAGAAGAAAGAAAGCTAATGAAATATATTGTTTATTAAAGGGGTCGACACATAGCATACGTCCCGCTCTGGAAGTAATGGGGGGGGGGGGGCCTAGATCATATGTGACGTCACACATTGATACATTTTTTATCATACCCATAAAAAAACCACTTAAATCGACACTGACGTTTTAACTTCATGTCGTGTTGAAATATATTGTTTATTAAAGGGGTCGACACATAGCATACGTCCCGCTCTGGAAGTAATGGGGGGGGGGGGGCCTAGATCATATGTGACGTCACACATTGATACATTTTTTATCATACACATAAAAAAACCACTTAAATCGACACTGACGTGTTAACTTCATGTCGTGTTGAATGTATTCTAACAGAAGATGTCACTTAATGGTGTCTAATTTTGACAGTGCATTGTGTTTTAGTTTTAGATTAAATTTTAAGTTTTTTTGGAAGTATGCCGCAGTTTAGGGGTTCGGGGGATCTGTGACAGGAGAAGGGGGGGAATTGAATAAATTTAAAAAGCAGTGGTTCTCAACGTATGGATTGCAACTCCTTTGGGGGTCGCACTACCCTTACACAAGAGTCGCATTAGACCATGGAAAAACACAAAATAAAAATCGCAACGAAAGTAATTTTATGGTGGAAAAAAAAAAGTGGGGGGGGGGGGTCACCACAACATGAGGAACTTAATTAAAGGGTTCGGGCATTAGGAAGGTTGAGAACCACTGATCTAAAGGATGTGTGAATTCTTTGTTATAACAAAATACTCACTTTTATTATTTTATTTCTTATTTCAATCAGTTGAAATATGCATTTTAAAACTATAGTATTGATGAATGAGGTTAATCTCTGCGATGATTATTTTAAGTTGCGTTCTTAAAAGGGCATCTGGCGGAGATTTCATTGAGCAGCATTTAATATCTTATGAACCTTAGGCTATCATTCAAACAGAGTTGTGGTAGAAAAATTTGATAGGAATTTGAGAGAAGACTGTACAGCATCTCTGCCAGTACTTGGATTTGGCTACTTACAGTAGCCATGACTAATTTATGACAGTATTCGGATTGGATGAATGAGAGTCCCCATTGTATCACTGAAGCAGTACTTGGGGCTACTTAAAGAGACGCCGGCGCTACACTGGACTCGTGGTTGTGGCGGGAATTTGAGCAGGGCTGCTGCGGATCGGTGAATAAGCAGTCGGCTCTGTATCCGGCTGCTTTTCCGGCACTCCAAAGTGTTCCGTGTAAGCGCCGTCAAACCGGCCGGGCGCGATCGTCTGCGGCTCTGGCGGCGGCAAAGGACGATTCCCACGCTTCTTCCGGCTGGTCTCCTCCCACACGACCATGGCGCACACGCAGAAGGCGAGCACTATCCCGACAAACACGATCAGCGTGTAAAGGGGCCGCCAGTTGATTATGGGGCATTCGTCGCCCTCGTCCTTCGAGTTCGGGCAGTCTGCACTTTTATCGCAGGCGATGCTTTTGGCGATGCAGAGGTTCTTTTCTTGGCAGTCGAATTTCCCTTCAGGGCACTCTGGACGAGAGAAAAGTTAAGATCATTGCAAGGTGCCCTCAGAGTGAAAGCAAGGTTCACATCGTTGTATCTACTCCGATGGTTGGACCAGAATTCTGGGTACTTTAATCTAACGCAATAATGTTAAACAGGTATTCTGGAAATTTGTAGATATTGAACTGTGTTTCTTACAATTAATTGATAAACTTCTCCAAAGGCCACTAAAATAGAGTTATGAGGAGGACAGTACACAGAGATTGTCTCAGATAAATATCTGAGACTTTTTTTACACAGAGATTGTCTCAGATAAGACATATTTTTTACACAGAGATTGTCTTGAATAAGTCATGTTTAAAAGTTCTCATTTGTTCTTTGTTTCCCGTTCAAAATTTTTTTTTTTTTTCAGTTATATTTCTTTTAATGTTATCTTATAAGTGATATTACCCCTTCAAGACTAGGGCATAAGACACTCGTGGCTTCTAAGCTTGGGCATAAGGCACTCGTGGCTTCTAAGCCTGGGCCTAAGGCACGCGTGGCTTCTAAGCCTGGGCCTAAGGCACTCGTGGATTTTGAGCCTAAGCATAAGGCACTCGTGGCGTCTAAGCCCCGGTATAAGGCACTCGTGGCTTCTAAGCCTGGGCATAAGGCCCTCGTGGCTTCTAAGCCTGGGTATATGGCACTCTTTGCTTCTTAGCTTGTTCCACGTTTATCCGATTTTGTTATCACACAATGTATGTAGCCTTATGGTCCTGCCATGCGGTTAGGTGGTCCTAATCTGTGGTTAGATGGACCTAACCTTTGGTCAGCGGTAACTACCCTATCGTCAGCTGGTCATACCCTTAGTGCAGGTTGGCCTACCCTATCGTCAGCTGGTCATACCCTTAGTGCAGGTTGGCCTACCCTATCGTCAGCTGGTCATACCCTAAGTGCAGGTTGGCCTACCCTATCGTCAGCTGGTCATACCCTTAGTGCAGGTTGGCCTACCCTATCGTCAGCTGGTCATACCCTTAGTGCAGGCTGTCCTACCCTCTTGTCAGCTGGTCACACCCTTAGTGCAGGTTGTCCTACCCTCTTGTCAGCTGGTCATACCCTTAGTGCAGGTTGGCCTACCCTATCGTCAGCTGGTCATACACTTAGTGCAGGTTGGCCTACCCTCTTGTCAGCTGATCCTACCATCGTGTCTGTTTGTCCTATCCTTTGCTCAAATTGTCCTACCCTCTTGTCAGCTGATCCTACCCTCTTGCCAGCCGGCCCTAACCTCTTGACAGTTGATGCTACCCTCTTGTCAGCTGAGCCTACCCTCCTGTCAGCTGATCCTACCCTCTTGTAAGCTTGCCCTACCATTTTGTCAGCCCGTCCAACCTTCTTGTCAGCTAGTCCTACCTTCTTGTCAGCTGGTCCTACCATGTCGTAAGCTGTTCCCGCCCTCTTGTCAGCTGGTCCTATCCTTAGTTCAGACTGTGCTACCGCCCCTAATAAACTACCAAACATGGGAAGTATTGTATTCCCCCCCCCCCCAATTACACAATCCTTGGAAAATATCATTCTAGCTAGTCTTGAACACATCGTAAATCATTCAATGTGTTTGAGACGGAACAATGACGTATTGTAGTGAGTATGACTTTATTTGGTGAAAATGACGTTAATTGGTGACAATGACATTAATTGGTGACAATGACGTTTATTGGTGACAATGACGTTATTTGGTGACAATGACGTTATTTGGTGACAATGACGTTAATTGGTGACAATGACATTAATTGGTGACAATGACATTAATTGGTGACAATGACGTTAATTGGTGACAGTGAAGTTATTTAGTGATAATGTCGTTATTTGGTGACAGTGATGTTATTTAGTGATAATGACGTTATTTGGACACAATGACGTTATTAAGTTAATGTCGTGTTATTTGTTGGAAATGTCGTTATTACGTGACAATGACGATTTTAGGTTATGAATACGTTATTTACCCTTATCCTTTATGTAGTACTCAACCACTCTTATGACGGCATCGATGCTGCTGTCCCCTTTTGCAACGCTCAAGGTGCCCGATGTGCCCAACTCATAGTGCCCCTTTGGTGCCTCACTCTTGCAGTAGCCTTCGTTGCCTTTTTTTTTTTTTTTTTTTTTTTTTAATAAAAAAAGTGTTAGGAAAATTTTTTTTTTTTTTTTTTTTTTTTTTTTTTTTTTTTTTTTTTTTTTTTTTTTTTTTTTTTTTTTTTTTTTTTTGTTTTTTTTTTTTTTTTTTTTTTTTTTTTTTTTTTTTTTGAATAAAAAAGATGATAGGAAAGCTATTGAATACCATCCTTGACCAATGAGTTAAGGATACTTAACTTGGGAACTATAAACTAAAACGGAATCCCAACACTTGACTTTGGATTAGCCAGAAATCCTAGAAGATTACAGTTGTTTGACCAAAGAAAGAATGTCACAGAGATAAGCATAACAATAAAAGACATGATGATGATGAGATCCGACATTTTAAAACAAAAAAAAAAAAAAAAAAAAAAAAAAAAAAAAAAAGCCCAAAAAAAAAAAAAAAAAAAAAAAGAAAAAAAAAAAAAAAAAAAAAAAAAAAAAAAAAAAAAAAAAAAAAAAAAAAAAAAAACAGGCTCACAACGTAATTAAAATTGCTTGGGGAAATTAATGAAAACATAAAAAAATATCTGGCGTGTGAAAAGGTCTGGTCGTTGTTGTGTAATGGAGTGGTGTGGTACAACGGAGTGTCTCCAACTACTCAGATCTGACCGCCTCCGCGTCGAGAGCAGATCTTTGCAATGCGTTCAAAGGTGGATCCATCCTATGGGGCAAGAGGTTTAGGAAATATGCTGTGATCCATCAAAATTATCACATTTAAATAAATCATTAAGCTAATACAAGTTCACCCAATTGTGCAAAGTTCCTGGAGTCGTAAAGATTGACGGCACCCGAACATGCGTCACCAGCCTTGTATTTCTTGAAATACGCCTTCAGCGTACTCTTCTTCTCGTCGGCTTCCAGGGTCACATTGCACGCTCGCGATCCTTTCAAGTTGTTGATGTGGATGTCCATGTAATTTTTCACAGTTGCAACTTGAGCGCAAATCCTGTTCAAGTCATATATGTCTGAGGAGAATTTGATTAAGGACGTTGATAGGCAGTGAAACGATGTATTTACACTGAACTACTAACTGACACACATATTCTGGTGAGGGTCTGAGATTACCCACTAATGACCCCGGATTGTACATTCGCTACCAGCTCCATCTGAACTACCAAAACGGCCAATTTGATAAGACTTGTGAGATGATCGACTGGTTTATTTAATTTTTTTTTTACGATTTCAACTCTTTTGTCTACAACAAGTCGAAAGAATCAAGACTCTACAGTGGGAATAGAATAAAACAGCGATATATATTGGCATGCCACTCAGATGAGACTAGACCACATGAGGACATTCAGAGGACTGATCATCATCATCAGTGGCGCTACAGCGTTCACCTCAGACTACACCAGTTTCAACGATGGACCTGATTTGCTGAGCAATAGCGCGTTAGTGTGAAAGCAAATATGATCACATTAACACAAAACACACATGCAGACGTCCATATACAGCGGCCTACGTTCCCAGTTTTTGTCCTCTGGGATACACCATTTCAGCCCGTTTTTTTTTTTAAATTTACTTTTAATATTCTTTTTTCATCCGTTGTTTATTCGCCAAAGAAGGCTTCTTGCCGATACGTCCGATGTTCTGTTGCGTCCTCTTTTCAGATTTACCCATACCTCTTTTCGCATGTTTCTTTCTAATTCACCTGATTGAAGTCTCTCCCTCTCTCTCCTTACTCTCATTAAAATACAAAACGATTAGTAATTTATTACAGCAAATAATCCTAGTTCAATGCATTTTTCTATAGCAACTTACTGTCTTTTTCCAGATTAATCGGTTCTGGAGATTCGACCAGAAGCACATCCCCAAGAAGTATACTCAAAACAAAATAGGCCCCGTATATTTTCATCTGTCACATTTAACAAGCCATCACCATCATACAGAGTTGACTGCAATACAAATTGGTTGTTACCGTTACAACTTTGTTGGCTCTTCTCCTTAGACGTCTCTGAAAGACAAAGATGCAAAGCTTGGGACATCACAATTTGACAAAACAGAAATTTGCAAAATACAGTCGAGCCCACTTATCTCGACCTTGGTTAACTCGCCAACCCTGTTATGTCGACGTTTTTGAAGTGGAACCACCAAAGTGTCTCTTTTGGTTATGTCGATTATTTTATGTCGCCGAAAACGGATATCTCGATCAACAAAAGGCGGTCAAATTTGCCACTGAATTTCGGTTATCTCGATCCCCCTGACCAATCGCCTGCTTTTGTAAATTATATACAACAGAAACGTGCCTACTTCAAACCATAGTAAGTGAAATGAAATGACACTGTCGTTAACCGCGCAATTAACTTGACTCAGCAAGAAGCGAGGAGCGTGAGGATTGCAAGCAAAAGAGAGCGGTCGCAGAACCTGTTCTATTCATGGCGAACCCACTTGTCGCTTAATAGACGTTCTCACACGTTGATTTTAAAAAAAAATGTTTAAACAAGAATCCGTATTTGAGTAAACTGAAATGGCTAATCCGAAAAAGGGGGGGGGGGGGGGGGGAAAAAAAAACNAGCGAGATAAAATAAAAACTCGCGAATCCGGAGCTGAAAAATAAATAGCCTCACGAATCCGGAATAATCCGGAAAGGTGGCTCCCCGAACATAAGCCTTGTGTTGTTAGCAAATATGTATCTACATTTGTATAGCCTGCCGATCGCTTCATCGAACAAATCGCGGTAACGCTGTTGTGTAAAAGAAAAAAACAACACAAAAAAACACTTCCATGTACCTTCCCATTTGAAAACGCACATCGCGTACTACTACTGTGGATAAAGAAATTTCAAGCACATATGAATATATTGCCGCCATATTGTTTTTCGTTTATCTCGATCATCGGTTATCTCGACGCTTTTTGGCAAACCCAGAGGCCGTCCACATAACCAGGTTCTACTGTAATCAATTAACTAAAATAGCAGTTGTATCTGATAAAATTTTTCTTGTGCTGTTTGTCTAAATTCAAACCATCGCTTAAAACAAAGATTTTTTTCTCCAGAGGATCACGTCTTTTGAAAATAACAATGAAAGACTGGAGTTGAATTCACAAGAAATGTGTAATAAGTGTAAATTATCTAAATCGATGACGTAATCCGTCCCAAAGAGCTGGGATTCTAAACTCAAGAATTCTGAGCATTCAAGCGTAATCTTCAAATACTAAGATGTCCCGTTGGTCGAATAAAACTAACGCCAAGAGGGACAACCTGAGGAAAAAGACAGGCATTTTAGTATATGCAGTTCTTTGCCCCTTAAAGGAGTTCTTGAGCACAGTTATTAGTGAAAGAGAAACCTCTTGGGGCGTCAAATATTTTAGTTTTAAAAAAAAAAATAAGCCGTGGCCTAAACTTAAAAATTGACAGCACTCTTTTTTTTCTGACCAATATTAAAGATTGTTTATTGTTAAAAGCTCAAATGTTCAAATTATTCAAACAGTCTTCCCGAGGTCGCTGCTGGCATTTGTGGTCTAGCAATTATTTTAATGAGGGTTGAACTGGGTACCGGCTTTTGAACTGGGTGCCGGCGTTTTGAGAAAATACCTGTTGGGTTCAACTGTTACCAAAAAGATTGAGCTTCAAATTTTCTAAAATATATGCCAGGTTTTAAACATTAGGCCTGCAGACAGTCCAACAGACCCTACCTTCCTACCTTTAAGCATGAGTCCTACAGGCAGTCCTACATCATGTCCGTGGCTCTGTATTGATTTATAAAATGGTCGCCTCTGATAAATTCAACTTTTTTACCTGAGTTCAGCCGTCACGCGTGACGCTAGCTGCTTGACAGTTGTTTTTTCACTGAGTACATTTAAGCATCTTGAGTATGGATGGGGGAAGGGGGCGGTTGTGAATGGAAGCAGCCATACCAGCAGCAAAATATACACGAGAGTTAGAATGCATTTATCAAAGTGATTTTAGAGCATCCGTAATTTCATTTTAATCCACGATTGGGAAACACATGTACAAATTGTTGTTTTTCTTTTAAATGCACAGTATTGTTGGAAGGTATAGCCTCCTTGTTTCCCTTCGCGAAAGCTCTTCAGTGTTTCTGACTGAATGCCAATGTTCATGACAAAGTTCGGTACATGCCGATTTGACGATTCATTCAACCGTGGCCATGTCACTTTGTATGGTGGTAGTTTTTTTTATATTTTTGTTTGAGCAATCAGTCAGCATCCTTCACCATGCATGTCTTCATGATTCAAACCCGCGGAGGCTGGTCTGAGTAGTGAACAGTTTCTTTTTAAAGTTAATTTCAGTGCAGAAAAATGACATAAGTCGCTAAAAAAGGGCAATTAATGTCTAAAATAAAATAAAACTAAATAACAAGTCTAAAACGGGGGAGCCAGAATGATCATTACATTGTTAGTTGGCCCTCAGAACATAGAAGAATAAGTAGAATTGGTAGCCGTAGAATTTTCAACAGAGATTTTTGTTTGTGTACATACGTCTTTATCTTAGTCTTTTTTCAGCATTCGCTTTGTTCAGCATGTCTTTAATAAGACGACCCTCTTGGTTACGATATGGACAAAGCTAAACACGGTGACTAATAGTGCGGCTAATAGCGGTGATTAATAGTGCGACAGAGATGGCACTGGTGTAGTATTTCCCTTTGTTTTAAGCGTGCACGAATGGAGACGTGTAGAACAGGTATTGAAAATGATTGATCCCTAAAAGTATTTCACTTAATACTTTGACAATTTTTACATTTTTCTTTTCAGGCTCCCCACTACATAACAACATGCCTGTCAATCTCATTACAACATCTCTTTCTGTCTCCAATTACAACATGCCTGTCAATCTCATTACAACATCTCTCTCTCTCAATCCCATTACAAAATCTCTCTCATTACAACATACCTATCCATCCCATTGCAACATGTCTCTCTCTCTCTCTCCCATTACAACATGCCTCTCAATCCCATTACAACATCTCCCTCCTGTTACCACATACATCTTTTTCCCATTGAAATTGCCTACCAAATCAACACAGAGTCTTTTTATCGACCTTACCAACTGCCTCGTAGCTTCTTTTTATCAACCTTAGCAACTCCCTAACAGCTTTTTGTTATCAACCTTCAAACTCCCTTACAATTTCTTGTTTTCAACCTTCAAACTCCCTCTTGACATCAACCCCAACAACTCCCTTTCAGCTTCTTGTCATCAACCTTAACAACTCCCTCACAGCATCTTGTTATCAACCTTACCAACTCCCTCTTATCTGTTTACCACCTGGAAGCCGTTCTTATGTGAACAGGAGTTAAGAGATTTCAGATACATTTACAAAATAGATTTTAAAACTTTACAATTTAATTAGCTATCTGGGTGATGAAGTAGGATCATTCCAAATACCGAGTGGTCTGGGGTTCAATCCCCACCAAAACCTGGACTGCCTATAACATCCCCAACACCCCGGGTGACGGGGGGGGGAGAGGTCTCGTTAACCTTGGACGGCAACTCATCGAGGAGAAAGTAAGCTCTGAAATAAAACCCAGAGATAGAGTCCCGTAGGCGGGTAACAATGACACAACGCACATTCCAGCAAATCCTTCGACGCAAATGGTGCCAAGCTGTGTCATCCACATATGGTGTTCCATGATAAGGTCAACTCATTTTTACGTGTGAAGTTATTTACTTTTGATTTTAAATTGAATGAGCCATGATTTCTGTCTATTTTTTATTTCTATTTTTTATTATTTTTTTTAAGGGGGGGGGGGGGGCTATAAAAGTCTTTTTTGTAAAAACAAATAGTTTATAACGAAAAAAATTAACAATAAAATATATGAACAATAAAAAAAAATGTCCAAAGAANTAGATGGGATGATTTGAGAGATTGTAACCAAAACTGTAACATGTAGGGAGTTACAGATCACACAGTGATGCAAAATCTGAGGAAACGACTCAGCTGTGTAATTAACAAATCGCTCAACGTGATGGCTGCGCAACTCACCAAGACAAATAACTACACAATTACTGGAAGAAGAAAAACAGTATTCAAATATTTTTTTTTTATTAAAGGGGGGGTCGACACATAAAGTACGTCACGTTCGGGAAGTGGGGAGGAGAGGGAGTAATGGGGGGGGGCGGGGCTAGATCATATGTCACGTCACACATTAATGTAATTTTTTTATCTTACACATAAGAAAGCTTAAATTTGACTGTGACGATTTAACTTTCTTTCGTGTTGAAAGTATTCTAACAGAAGATGTCACTTAGTGGTTTCTGAGGCTGACAGTGAATTGTGTTTTAGTAGGTTAAATTTTAAGACGTTGATAATTTTTTTTAACTTTTTTTTTTTTGGAAGTATGCCGCAGTTAAGGGGATCAGGAGGATCTGTGACAGGAGGAAAAAAAAAAGGGGGGGGGCGCTAAAAATTTGTTAAGCAACCATTCTCAACCTGTTGGTCGTGACCCCTTGTGGAGGTCGAACTACCCTACTTACACAAGGGTCGCATTAGACAATCGGATAACCCATATTTCTAAAAATTGCAACGAAAAATAATTTTAGGGTGGGTGGAAAGGGGGGGGGGGGTTTACCACAACAAGATGACCTTTATTAAAGGGTCGCGGCATTAGGAAGGTTGAGAACCACTGATCTAAAGGATGTTTGAATTATTTTTTATTTTAAAAAATACTCACTTTTGTTATACAATTTTTGTTGTTTAGATCAAATACACTATGCACTTTAAAGCTATAGCATTGATGAATGAGGTTAATCTCTGCGGTGATTATTATTTTTGTTTAAAGTTGCAAGTCTTCAAAGGGGCATGTTGATTTACTTGAGTAGCATTTCATATCGCATGAAACTCGGGCTGTCATTCAAACACCGTTGTGGTTGGAAAAATTTGATAGGAATTTGAGAGCAGACTGTGCAGCATCAGGCTACCGTAATTTTGATCGAAAGAAATTTCGTCGACGGTAAATTGATCGACGGAAATTTTTTCGAACGGATATTTTTATCGAATCTCTTTTTTTTTCAAATCACACGTCAAAATGCTCGTCGAAATTCTTTTTGAACGCACTTTAATATATGATAAAACGAAATAAAGCGTCCAAGAAGAAATTTAAAGCAAAATTTTAACGTAAAAACTGAAGAGGAAAAAAAAAAAGATTCGGCCAAATTTCCGTTCGATCAAATTACGGTCGATAATTTTACTGTCGACGAAATTTCTTTCGATCACTTTTTCCGGATGCGACAGCATCTGTTTCAGTACTTGGATTTTTCGTTAATTACAGTAGCCAGGACGACTAAGCCGTGACAGTATTCGGATTGGATAAATGAGAGTCACCATCGCGTGACCCCCGTTTAAGGATTTGGATTGCTGAACTGCAAGAGTAGCCATTGTATCACTGTAACAGTACTTGGGTTACTTAATTAAGGGAGCAGCCATTACATCGCTGTATCAGTAATTGGATTACTCAATGGCATGAGAGCAGGCCGGCGCTATAATGGACTCGTGGTTGTGGCGGGAATTTGAGCAGGGCTGCCGCCACGGATCGGTGCATAAACTGTCGGCTCTGTATCCGGCTGCTTTCTCGGCACTCCAAAGTGTTCCGAGTACGCGCCGTCAAACCGGCCGGGCTCGACCGTCTGCGGCTCTGGCGGCGGCAAAGGACGATTCCCACGCTTCTTCCGGCTGGTCTCCTCCCACACGACCATGGCGCACACGCAGAAGGCGATCAATAGGCCGACCAACACGATCAGCGTGTAAAGGGGCCGCAGGCTGCACTGGTCGCCCTCGTCCTTCGAGTTCGGGCAGTCTGCACTTGTATCGCAGGCGATGCTTTTGGCGATGCAGAGGTTCTTTTCTTGGCAGTCGAATTTCCCTTCAGGGCACTCTGGACGAGAGAAAAGTTAAGATCATTGCAAGGTGCCCTCAGAGTGAAAGCAAGGTTCATATCGTTTATCCACTCCGATGGTTGGACGAGAATTCTGGGTACTTTAATCTAACGCAATAATGTTAAACAGGTATTCTGGAAATGTGTAGATATTGAACTGTGTTTCTTACAATTACTTGATAAACTTCTTCAAATGCCACTAAAATAGAGTTATAATGAAGACAGTACACAGCGATTGTCTGAGATAAGACATTTTTTAGACAATGATTGCCTCAGATAAGACATATTTTTTACACAGAGATTGTCTTGAATAAGTCATGTTTAAAAAATCTAATTTCTTCTTTGTTTCCAGTTCTACTTTTTGTTGTCAGATATTTTCAGCTACGTTTCTTTTAATGTTCTCCCTTTAAAATCATATTACACCTTCAAGACTTGGGCATAAGGCACTCGTGGCTTCTAAGCCTGGGCATAAGGCACTCGTGACTTCTAAGCCTGGACATAAGCACTCGTGACTTTTAAGCCCCGGCATAAGCACTCGTGGCTTCTAAGCCTGGGCGTAAGGCACTCGTTGCTTCTAAGCCTGGGTTTAAGGCACTCGTGGCTTCTAAGCCTAGGAATAAGGCACTCGTGGCTTCTAAACATGGGCATAAGGCACTCGTGACTTTAAATCCCCGGCATAAGCACTCGTGGCTTCTAAGCCTGAGCGTAAGGCACTCGTTGCTTCTAAGCCTCGGCATAAGGCACTCGTGACTTTTAAGCCCCGGCATAAGCACTCGTGGCTTCTAAGCCTGGGCGTAAGGCACTCGTTGCTTCTAAGCCTGGGTATAAGGCACTCGTGGCTTCTAAGCCTAGGCATAAGGCGCTCGTGGCTTCTAAACATGGACTTAAGGCATTCGTTGCTTTTGAGCCCGGGTATAAGGCACTCGTGGCTTCTAAGCCTGGGTATAAGGCACGCTTCGCTTCTGAGCTTGTTCCACGTATATCGGATTCAAAGATGTTATTTGGAATCAATGACGTTATTTGGAGACAAATGCGTTACTTTGTGATAATTTTGTTATTTGGAGACAACGACTTTATTTGGTGACAATGATGTTAATTGGAAACAAAGACGTGATTTGGTGAAAATGACGTTATTTGGAGAGAAAGAAGTTAGTCGGTGACAACCACGTTATTTGTCTACAAAGAAGTTATTCTGTGACAATGACGTTAATTTGAGATAAAGAAGTTATTTGATGTCAATGACGTTATTAGGAGACATAGAAGTTATTTGGTGACAATGACGTTATTTGGAGACTAAGAAGTTATTCGGTGACAACGACGTTATTTGTTGACAATAATGTTATTTGGATACAAAGATGTTATTTGTTGACAATGACGTTATTTGGAGACAAAAACGTTATTTGGAAAAAATGAAGTTATTTGGAGACAAAGAAGTTATTTGATGATTCACATTATTTGGTGATATTGATGTTATTTGGAGACAAAGATGTTATTTGGAGACAAAGAAGTTATTCAGTGACAATGACTTTAGTTGGTGACAATAATGTTATTTGGTGACATTTATGTTATTTGGTGACAATGACTTTATTTGGAGACAAAGACGTTATTTGGAAAAAATGAGGTTATTTGGAGACTAATAAGTTATTTTGTGACATTGACGTTATTTGGTGATATTGAGGTTATTTTGAGACTAAGACATTATTTGGATACAAGGACGTTATTCAGAAACAATTACGTTATTTAGTGACAATAATGTTATTTCGTCACATTTGTGTTATTTGGTGACAATGACGTTATTTGGTGACATTGATGTTATTTGGAGACAATGACATTGTTTGGTGACATTGACGTTATTTGGAGACAAAGATGTTATTTGGTGACAATGACGTTATTTGGTGACATTGATGTTATTTGGAGACAAAGATGTTATTTGGTGACAATGACATTGTTTGGTGACATTGACGTTATTTGGAGACAAAGATGTTATTTGGTGACAATGACGTTGTTTGGAGACAAAGAAGTTATTCGGTGACAACGACGTTATTTGGTAACAATAATGTTATTTGGATACAAAGAAGTTTTTTGGTGACAATGACGTTATTTGGTGACAATGACGTTATTTGGTGATAATGACGTTATTTGGTGACAATGGCGTTATTTGGTGACAATGACGTTAGTTGGTGACAATGACGTTATTTGGTGATAATGACGTTATTTGGTGACATTGACGTTATTTGGAGACAAAGATGTTATTTGGTGACAATGACGTTATTTGGTGACAATGACGTTATTTGGTGATAATGACGTTATTTGGTGACAATGACGTTATTTGGTGACAATGACGTTATTTGGTGACAATGACGTTATTTGGTGACAATGACGTTATTTGGTGACAATGACGTTATTTGGTGACAATGACGTTATTTGGTGACAATGACGTTATTTGGTGACAATGACGTTATTTGGTGATAATGACGTTATTTGGTGACAATGACGTTATTTGGTGACAATGACGTTATTTGGTGACAATGGCGTTATTTGGTGACAATGACGTTATTTGGTGACAATGACGTTATTTGGTGACATTGAAGTTATTTGGTGATAATGACGTTATTTGGTGACAATGACGTTATTTGGAGACAATGACGTTATTTGGTGACAATGACGTTATTTGGTGATAATGACGTTATTTGGTGACAATGACGTTATTTGGTGACAATGACGTTATTTGGTGATAATGACGTTATTTGGTGATAATGACGTTATTTGGTGACAATGACGTTATTTGGTGACATTGAAGTTATTTGGTGATAATGACGTTATTTGGTGACAATGACGTTATTTGGAGACAATGACGTTATTTGGTGACAATGACGTTATTTGGTGATAATGACGTTATTTGGTGATAATGACGTTATTTGGAGACAATGACGTTATTTGGTGACAATGACGTTATTTGGTGACAATGACGTTATTTGGTGACATTGAAGTTATTTGGAGACAAAGATGTTATTCGGTGACAACGACGTTATTTGTTGACAATAATGTTATTTGGATACAAAGATGCTTTTTGGTGACAATGACGTTATTTGGAGACAATGACGTTATTTGGAAAGAATGAGGTTATTTGGAGACAAAGAAGTTATTTTAGACATTGACGTTATTTGCTGATATAAATGATACTTGGAGACAAAGATGTTAATTTGGAGACGAAGACGTTATTTGGACACGCAGAAGTTATTTGGTGACAATGACGTTGTTTAGTGACATTGATGTTATTTGGAGACAAAGAAATTTTTTGGAGACAAAGACGTTATTTTGTGAAATTAACGTTCTTCATTGATAATGACGTTATTTAGTGACGATTACGTTATTAGGACACAATGACGTTATTTATTTCATTCAAATCATGTTATTTGGTGACAATGTCATTATTACGTCACAATGACGATTTTTGGGTGACGAATACGTTATTTACCCTTATCCTTTATGTAGTACTCAACCACTCTTACGATGGCATCGATGCCGCTGTCCCCTTTTGCAACGCTCAAGATGCCCGCTGTGCCCAACTCATAGTGCCCCTTTGGTGCCTCACTCTTGCAGTAGCCTTCGTTGCCTTTTTTTAATAAAAAAGATGATAGGAAATCTATTGATTAGTAGACTCGACCAATGAGTTAATTGCACTTGGGAACATAAACTTAAACGGAATCCCAACACTTGACTTTGGATTATTCAGAAATCCTAGAAGATTAGAAGATTACAGTTGTTTGACCAAAGAAAGAATGTCACGGAGATGAGCAGGACAATAAAAGACATGATGATGATGAGATCCGACATTTAAAAAAAAACAACAAGCCCACAACGTAATTAAAATTGCTTGGGGAATTTAATGAAAAAATAAAAATATCGGCCGCGTGGAACAGTGTGGTCGATGTTGTATAATGGAGTTGTGTGGTAGGTAAAATAATTTGGTAAAATGGTGGGGTTTTTTTTAATCAGGTGGCGGGGTAAAAGAGGGTAAAAATGACATTACGTTGAAAAAGCGGATGTGTGCTACAACTCCAACTCCTCATCTATGACCACCTCCGATCTTGGCAATGCGTTCAAAGGCGGTTTAGCCTAGAGGGGAAGAAGATGTTCAGGAAATATCCTACGATCCATCAAAATTATCACATGTAAATAAATCATTAAGCTAATACAAGTTCACCTAATTGTGCAAAGTTCCTGGAGTCGTAAAGATTGACGGCACCCGAACATGCGTTCCCAGCCTTGTATTTCTTGAAGTACGCCTTCAGCGTGCTCTTCTTCTCGTCGGCTTCCAGGGTCACGCTGCACGCTCGCGATCCTTTCAAGTTGTCGATTTGGATGTCCATGTAATTTTTCACAGTTGCAACTTGAGCGCACATCCTGTTCAAGTCATATATGTCTGAGGAGAATTTTGTTAATAACGTTGATAGGCAGAGAAACTATGTATTTACACTGTGAACTACTAACTAACACACATATTCTGGTGAGGGTCTGAGATTACTCCCTAATGACCCCGGATTGTACATTGGCTACCAACTCCATCTGAACTACCAAAACGGCAAATCTGATAAGACTTGTGAGAGGATTGACCGGTCATTTTTTAATGATTTAAATTCATTTGTCGACAACAAGTCGAAAGTATCATGACAGTACAGTGGGAACAGAATCAAACAGCGATATATATTGACATGCCACTCAGATGAGACTAGACCACATGAGGACATTCAGAGGACTGATCATCATCATCAGTGGCGCTACAGCCCATGTAGGGCCCGGGCCTACTCCACCACATCCTTCCATTCGGAGCGATCCATGGCTTTCCGTCTCCATGCGCGAACCCCCAAAGGGTGCATATCCATCTCCACATCATCAATCCATCTCAGACTTGGGCGACCAGTGAGTCGTCTGCCCCTAGGCTTCTGCCTTTTTTTAAAATAAATGTTGCTGCTCTATATTCCGGCATCCTTTCAACATGCCCTGCCCAGCGTAGTCTGCCTTTTTTATCATTTTGACTATGGGTGGGTCTTTGTGCAAATGGTAAAGTTCTTGGCTCCGACTGATACTACTTTGTAATTAAATATGCGGGCGCTTGTCGCTCGTAATGGCGCCCCCCAACATAAGCGTGTTATCGTGAAAGCTATACACACACACACACTCACACTCACACACATGCTGACATCAAAATATGGCGCCCTACATTCCTACTTTTTGTCCTTTTGGATACACCATTTCAGCCCGTGTTTTTTTTTTAATTTAATTTTAATACATCTTTTTTTAATCGTTGTTTATTCGTTAAAGAAGGCTTCTTGCCGACACGTCCAGTGTTCTGTCGCGTCCTTTTTTTCAGATTTACCCATATCTCGTTTCACATATTTTGTTTCATCTATTTTCTTCTACCTCTCCCAATTGCAGTCTCTCCCTCCTTACTCTCATTAAACTACAGTTCAGGCTACAAACAAAACGATTATTAAATTATTATAGCAAATAATCCTATGTCGACGCATTTTTCTGCAGCAACTTACTGAAACTTTCCAGATTAATGGGTTCTGGAGATTCGACCAGAAACACATCCCCAAGAAGTATACTCAAAATGAAATGGGCCCCGTAAATTTTCATCTGTCACATTTAACAAGCCATCACCATCAAATAGAGTTGACTGCGGTACAAATTGGTTGTTACCGTTACAACTTAGTTGGATTTTCTCCTTAGACGTCTCTGAAAGACAAAGACGCGAAGCTTGGAAAATCAAAACTGCATTTAACGATTGACAAAAAATAAATTTTAAACTACAGTCAAACCCACCTATCTCGACCTCGGTTAACTCGCCAATCCTGTTATGTCGACGTTTTTGAAGTGGAACCGCCACAGTGTCTCTTTTGGTTATGTTGATTCCTTTATGTCGCCGAACTCTGAAATCTCGAGCAAAAAACACGGCGGAATTTGCGACTTAACCTCGGTTATCTCGACCAATCTCCGCCTTTTGAATATTATATACAACAGAAACGTGCCTGCTTCAAACCGTAGTAAGTGAAATGGATTGACAATATCGTTGTCCACGCAATTAACTTGACTCAGCAAGAAGCGAGGAGCGAGAGGCTTGCAAACAAAAGAGAGAAGTCGCAGTACCTGTTCTGTTCATGGTGAACCCGCTTGTCTCTTAATACTTATAATTAGGTTTTCACGTGTTCTTACACGTTTATTTATTTTAAAAACCCAGAAGCCGTACTTGAATAAAGAGAACTGGCTAATCCGGAGGGAAAGAAAATAAAAACTCGTAAATACGGGGCTGAAAAATATTTAGCCTCACGAATCTGGAATAATCCAGAAAAATGTTCCCTTTCCCCACATATTTTAGCAAACATGTATCTACATTTTTATAGGATGCCGATCTCTTCATCCAACAAATCGCGTCATCGAGGTTGTGTAAAACAAAATCCCCAAACACGTTCATGTACATATCATTTAGAAACGGAACTCGTTTACATAACGAAATTTCAAGCGCATGTTAATATAATGCCGCCTTATTATTTTTCGTTTATCTCGATCTTCGGTTATCTCGATGCTTTTTTTTTTGCAAACTTCCGAGGACCTCGACATAACCAGGTTCTACTGTAGTCAATTAATTGAAATAGTAGTTGAATCTGATATAATTGTTCTTGCGCTGTAGATGAAACTATTTGCCTTAACTCAAACCAGCGCTTAAAACAAAGATAACATTTAGTTTTTTTTTCTCCAGAGGATCACGTCTTTTGAAAATAACAATGAAAGGCTGGAGTTGAATTCACCAGAAATGTGTAGTAGTTGTATGTTACCCCAATCGATGAAGTAATCCGTCCCAAAGAGCTGGGATTCTAAACTCAAGAATTATGAGCATCCAAGTGTAATCTTCAGATACTTAGATTTCCCGTTGGTCGACTAAAAAAACGCCAAGAGGGACAACCTGAGGAAAAGACAGGCATTTTAGTATATGCAGTTCTTTGCCCCTTAAAGGATTTCTTGAGCACAGTTATTAGTGAAAGAGAAACCTCTTGGGGCGTCAAATATTTTAGTTTTTAAAAAAAAAATAAGGCGTGGCCTCAACTTAAAAATTGACAGCACTCTTTTTTTTTCCTGACCCAATATTAAAGATTGTTTATTGTTAAAAGCTCAAATGTTCAAATTATTCAAACAGTCTTCCCGAGGTCGCTGCTGGCATTTGTGGTCTAGCAATTATTTTAATGAGGGCTGAACTGGGTACCAGCTTTTGAACCGGGTGCCGGTATTTTGAGAAAATACCTGGTGGGTTCAACTATTACCAAAAAGATTGAGCTTCAAATTTTCTAAAAAACATGTCAGCCTTAAACATTGGGCCTACAGACAGTCCTACACCATACCCGTGGCTCTTTATTGATCTATAAAATGGTCGCCCCCGATAAAATTCAACCTTTTTACCTGAGTTCAGCCGTCACGCATGACGCAAGCTGCTTAACAGTTGTTTTTTCACTGAACACAGTTAAGCATCTCGAGTATGGGGGAGCGGAGCGGTTGTGAATGGAAGCAGCCATACCAGCAGCAAAATATACACGAGAGTTAGAATGCATTTATCAAAGTGATTTTAGAGCATCCGTAATTTCATTTTAATCCACGATTGGGAAACACATGTACAAATATTTGTTGTTCTTTTAAATGCACAGTATTGTTGGAAGGTTCAGCCTCCTTGTTTACCATCGCGATAGCTATTCAGTGTTTCTGAGTGAACTCCATTTTTCATGACAAAGTTCGGTACATGTGGATTTGACGATTCATTCAACCATGGCATGGCCATGTCACTTTGTATGGTGGTAGTTTTTATTTTTTTTTTCAATTTTGTTTATGCAATCAGTCAGCATACTTCACCATGCATGTCTTCATTATCCTAAACCGCGAAGAGTATTCTGAGTAGTGAAAAGTCTTTTTTTTAAACTTAATTTCATTGCAGAAAAATGATGGTGACGGATGTCGTGAAAAAGAATTGTAATTGAGGTCTAGAGGAAAATAAAAATGAGTAACAAGTCTAAAACATAGGAGCCAGAATGGTCAGTGCATTGATAGTGGGTGGGCCCTCAGAACATAGAAGAATGGGAAGAAGTTTTAACAGAACTTTTTGTTTGTGTACATACGTCTTTATCTTAGTCTTTTTTCAGCATTCGCTTTGGTTAGCATGTCTTTAAAAGCACGACCCTCTTGGTTACGATATGCACAAAGCTAAACACAGTGACTAATAGTGCGGCTAATAGCGCGATGAATAGAGCGACAGAGATGGCACTGGTGTAGTATTTCCCTTTGTTTTAAGCGTGCACGAATGGAGACGTGTAGAACAGGTATTGAAAATGATTGATCTCTAAAAGTATCCCCCTTAATACTTGACATAATTTACGTTTCTCTTATCAGGCATCCCACTCCCATTACAACATGCCTCTATCCCGTTACAACATGCCACTCTTCCATTACAACAAGCCTGTTTTCAATTACAACATGCCTCTCTCCCATTACAACATCTCTCTCTCTCTCTCCCATTACAACAAACCTCTCAATCCCATTACATCATATCTCTCTCTCCCAGTACAACATGCCTCTCAATCCCATTAAAATATTTCTCTCTCCCTCCCATTACCACATGCCTCTCTTCCATTACAACATAACCTCTCAATTCCATTTTATCATCACTCTCATTGCACATCTTTTTCGGGCGCTTCTTACTTAACTCTAAACAGTGGTTCTTAAACTTTTTTAAAGGATTCCTTGCGTGACGGTCAACAATTAGCGAATAGTTTTCTGTTACTGAAACATTTTTGACACTTGCTTGTACAATGGCAAAACTTATTCCTCAAATGTACGTTTAATGGGATTGATGCATCTGCTTTGTCTTAACCAGTTCTTATATTTCTGGCTTTCTTTTTGGCCAATGCAAGTCTTATGCAAATTTTCACACCTGTTTCGGGATTTTGTTTTGACACCAAACAGTTTGGAAAAAGCCGTCTGACACTGACAGATGGCTGAAAATGCAATCAGCAATCTAAGAGCAATCTTCGCGAAATCAGGATTAAACTGTTCCATTTCAATCGATAAATCACTACAACACAGTTTACGGAAAGCATAGTTTGCACCTCGATCACTTATCAAAGCAATAAACTTTTCTTGAACTGTCCTCCGAAGGCGGCTCACTAATGGGACGCAAAGAGGGGTTCATGATAAGGAAAAAGGTGTTTGTTTTTTCAAATTCTCATACTTCTTGAAAATAATGAGACATTTCTTCGCTAAAAATTAATACTTGTTCTTTCATCACATCCGGGATGTTGTAGTAGACTTAAGGCTCATTGCCCCCAATAAATGTTTTTAACTGCGACGGTTATCAGACACCTCCGCTATTCGCCACCTAACCGTATCGCTTGACACCGAAAGATGTAGACAGTTTTTACACAAAATTGTTCTCCTGCAGAGGACTAATAAGGAATGTCAAAAATTAAGTGAGCATTAAGAGAGTTTGGAGATGTATCCTCCGCCAAACCCATTATTCCATTCTCTGGTGAGCTCAAAGTTTAGCTCTTAGTTTCTAAGGATTGACAGGTCGGCTGTAGGAGATCTAAGAGACAGATAATACCTGACAGGTCGGCTGTTGGAGATCTGTGAGATAGATAATACCTGACAGATTGCTGTTGGAGATCTGTGAGATAGATAATACCTGACAGGTCGGCTGTTGGAGATCTGATGAGCGACCTCCTGCGCGCGATGGACGATGGCAAACTCTCTATTCTCACTCTGTTAGATCTCTCTGCTGCATTTGATACCATTGACCACCAGATTCTTCTTGACCACCTTCATCTTTCTTTCGGACTTACCGGCTCAGCTTTAAACTGGTTTCAATCATATCTTTCTGACAGAACTCAAACAGTCTCTATTTCCAACCGCTCTTCCAAACCTTCAGCCCTGTCTATTGGAGTTCCTAAAGGATCGGTCCTTGGGCCGGTCCTTTTCATCCTCTACACTAAACCTCTATCATCTCTCATTAGCCACCACTCAGTTTCCAGTCAATCCTTTGCTGATGACACTCAAATCAGTGACTCTTGCTTTCCTGATCAACTTGATGCCACAATCCTTCGCATACAGGAGTGCGTGGATGATGTAAAGCGTTGGATGACTTGCAACAAACTGAAGCTAAATGATGATAAAACGGAAATCCTTCTCATCCACTCTCAAAGCAAACCTCTCCCTCCATTCGCTCCTTCTTCTATATCTATTGGCAACTCTGACATCACACTCTCTCCCTCTGCCAGAAACCTTGGAGTCACGCTTACAGACAGCCTCTCCATGGACAAACATGTCACGAATATATGCAGATCAGCATATAACGAAATTAGAAAAATCAGCACCATTAGACACCTCCTCTCCTTTGATGCCACAAAAACTCTCTTATCTTCACTCATTCTTTCAAAATTTGACTACTGTTACACTCTTCTCGCAGGCATTCCTCAACATCACATAGACAAACTTCAGAAGGCACAGAACTCAGCATGCAGACTCATTTTCAAATTAAAGAAACATGACCACATTCAACCAAACATGCGGCAACTCCACTGGCTTCCAATATCCTCTCGCATCAAATACAAGTCTGCCAATCTTTGCTTCAACTCGTTTTCTGACCCTCACTTTCCTGTCTATCTCTCTGAACTGTTGCTTCCTTACATCCCCACCAGACAACTACGTTCTTCCATTGACAGTAGAACCCTCTCAATCCCAAGAACCAAAACTAGGACAATCGGTGAACGCTCCTTCTGCTTCCATGGGCCCACGTTCTGGAACCAGCTCCCCTTCCATATCCGTCATTGTAAAACCTCGTCCATTTTCAAAAAGGCCCTTAAAACTCATCTGTTTAGGTCCGCCTATGACCTTTGATGCACCCTCCTTGCCCTGCCTCATTTTCTGTTTCAGGTTGATCCTGAAGTATAGGCCAAAACGTGTCAAAGTGTCCTCGTTTTATAGCCATTTTCATTGTTTCTATAGTATAGTAGTTACTATCCTGGTGTCATTTTTATTTTACTTAGTTTGCATGTTTTTAATAATTGTAAAGCGCTTAGAGCTTTATGGTAAGCGCTATATAAATATGCCTAAATAAATAAATAAATAATACCTGACAGGTCGGCTGTTGGAGATCTGAGAGATAGATAATACCTGACAGGTCGGCTGTTGGAGATCTCCGAGATAGATAATAACTGACAGGCCGGCTGTTGGAGATCTGCGAGATAGATAATATCTGACAGGCCTGCTGTTGGAGATCTGAGAGATAGATAATACCTGACAGGTCGGCTGTTGGAGATCTGCGAGATAGATACTACCTGACAGGTCGGCTGTTGGAGATCTGAGAGATAGATACTACCTGACAGGCCGGCTGTTGGAGATCTGAGAGATAGATATTACCTGACAGGCCGGCTGTTGGAGATCTGAGAGATAGATACTACCTAACAGGTCGGCTGTTGGAGATCTGAGAGATAGATACTACCTGACAGGTCGGCTGTTGGAGATCTGAGAGATAGATACTAACGCAAATGACTCCTCAGATTGTTGACGCTTCGCAAAATGCGAAAGGTTTCTGGGAGCTCAGTGGAACTAAACGTTGCACGCGAGCTCTCTCTCTTTATATCTCTATCTTTATTTCTCTCTTTTTATCTCTCTCTCTCTTTATCTCTCTCTCTCTCTTTATCTCTCTCTCTCTCTCTTTATCTCTCTCTCTTTATCTCTCTCTCTCTTTATCTCTCTCTCTCCTTCTAACTCTCTGCTGGCTTCTGGGGAAAAGATGTGCCTATGCCACTACACTACACTAGCGGTTTTAAAAAAATTTAGTGAATATACCAAGTCTCATAGAAACTAAATTGTATTCCTCCACGGAACATGGCAACTAGCGACAACAATCACAAAGAACACAAAAATTTGTATCCAAGTGACCCTTTCACACAACCCCCCCCCTTTTTTTCCGCCTGAAAATGCTTCGCGGGCCCCTGTTGGAAAAACAATCTCTAAAACTATTTATGAGCACAGAAGCCCACTACCCACTGGACACATGCACACCCACGCATCAAAACGCCCATGCACACACACATACACACACACATGCATGCACAAATACATCCAAATACATGCACGTACACACACGCACTTCACACTCACACACACACCACGACTTTTAAAACAATTAAAAAAACACTTATAAGACAGAAATACAACTTTTTGAAAAAAACTCCTTTTATTGTCGATACTATCACATTAATTTTGAAGAAAAAAAATTATTTGTATTTCATTTCGTTTAGAGCCGCGGTTCTCAAACAGTGTGTCGCGACCACTTTTGGGAGTCGAACGACCCTTTCCCAGGGGTCGCCTAAGATCAGCGGAAAACGCATATACTCTACAGTTATAGTGTGGCAATTAAAATAAATTTGTGGTTGGGGGGGGGGGTTGCCGCGACATGAGCAACTGCATTAAAGGGTCGCGGCATTGGGAGGTTGAGAACCACGGGTTTAGAGGATTGTGCAACTATCCCCCCCAATTTTTCACAGGTTTGTAACAACACATAAAATGAATTACAAATATTCGGCCGAAAATCTTTGTTTTAAGGGGCTGTTTAATTCCTTATTTAATGAAAAGCAATGTGGGGAAAATAAATCCGTACCTAACTAGTCCCACTGCCACGGAGAAGTCTTTTCTTAGTTACTGAAAGAGACCTGGGATATGTGCGTGGTTTTAAAAGCGCTGAGCTTCGCCAGTTGAGCGTTGACCTCCTCAAGTTTCGGCGAGCTGGCGTGCGCGGCGTGTCCCCTTGGCCCGGTCACGTTGTGGACGTAGACCCCGTCGAAAGGGCCTGGCGACATCTGGTGGTGGTCCACGCTCGCGGCTTTCCCCTTGCGGCGGCTGCGCGTCTCCTCCCACAGGATCGTCCCGCAAATGCAGCACGTGCAGACCGTCACGACGACCACCGCCAGGATGTAGACCGGAACCAGTTTGTCGTGCGCGCAGTCGTTGGCCTCGTCCTTGCCGTTGGGGCAGTCCGAGGTGAAGTCGCACTGGATCTCCTTGTTGATGCAGAGGTTGTGGGTCTCGCAGTCGAAACTGTCCGAGGGGCAACCTGGTGGACGACGTTGGAAGACGCTTAGTGTTACATCGAAAAAAAAAAACCTGCTGACCGCATCTCTTAGGGCAGTGGTGCTCAACCTTCTTAATGCCGCGACCCTTCAATACAGTCCCCAGCGTTGTGGCGACCCCCAACTAAAAATTATTTTCTTAGCTGTGTCATAACTGTAGATTATGTGTTTTCTGATGGTCTTACGCGACCCCTGGGAAAGGGTCGTGCGACCCCCAAAGGGATCGCAACCCACAGGTTGAGAACCGCTGCCTTAGGGCCTGCGGGCTTACGAAAGGAAACTCAATGACTAGGGCAGTTATTATCATTTTAGTATTTGCATTTTCTATTGAACAATACTTGTAGAAATGTGGTCGTTGTTTTCAAATCCTGTGGAGAATGCATTTTAATGTTCACATAATGACGAAATGTGGATTGTTTCGTGTCATGACAATCATAGTAAAAGTTTAGCTGCATATGAATGTCCTTAGGGACATTATTTTAATAAAGGTGTCTGGGACAATTTTGTGAATTTGTTGACTATATGGATCTTTATTTAATTACCTCATCCTGCCCACACAAAACCCATCATCCACCTGTCCCGCCCCATAATATTATTAAAAGCTACAACCAGCAACAACCAGCAACAACCAGCAACAACCGGCAACAACCGGCAACAACCGGCAACAACCGGCAACAACCGGCAACAAACGGCAACAACCGGCAACAACCGGCAACAATCTTTAGCCTTATTAAAATATCACAATTAATGTAACAGAACTGACCGATATCTTTGACACTGTATTCAACCAGTCGAACTAGAGCATCGATGCTGTCGCTTGCGTGTCTAACGCTTATTACTCCACGCTTGTCCAAGTGGAAATAGCCCCTCGGCGGCTCCGTCTTGCAGTAGCCTCTGATCCCTGTGGAACGGAATGAATGGAAGCGGCTTGCAATAAAGCGTTACACTTGGCGTGGGTCGTGAGAACTGTTGGCTTTCTGAATCTGAATGGAATCGAATGTCGGAGCCTTGACCGGAGACTACAAATTGTAGGTAGTCTCCCTCATGGATGTAAATGATGTTCTACAAAATAACTTGAAATCATGGTGTTACCATTGTTGGGATCACTTTTCTACTTGAAATCATGGTGTTACCATTGTTGGGATCACTTTTCTACTTGAAATCATGGTGTTACCGTTGTTGGGATCACTTTTCTACTTGAAATCATGGTGTTACCGTTGTTGGGATCACTTTTCTACTTGAAATCATGGTGTTACCGTTGTTGGGATCACTTTTCTACTTGAAATCATGGTGTTACCGTTGTTGGGATCACTTTTCTACTTGAAATCATGGTGTTACCGTTGTTGGGATCACTTTTCTACTTGAAATCATGGTGTTACCGTTGTTGGGATCACTTTTCTACTTGAAATCATGGTGTTACCGTTGTTGGGATCACTTTTCTACTTGAAATCATGGTGTTACCGTTGTTGGGATCACTTTTCTTTTTTTATTGCAACCATCGGTTATCTTTGTCACGTGGCCTTGCATTACTTCGCTCACTTGATCAATCCACAAACGCCACTCACATAGAGCATAAATTGTCAATTTTCAACACTATACTTCATTATATAAATATATATATATATATATATATATAAACACTACACCGGGAATATTTTAATAAAGTAGATCATGCCATATTCTGCATTAAATGGAATACGCATCTCACATGTGATTCAAATTACATTAGACAAAAAAAATTATGCTCAGCCTCCTGAGAGAGACACTAAAGTTACACTCTCGTGCTTTATTTTCTACTTCCGCCCACAAAATAATCCATTAAGTGTTAAAACGCATAATATCATAATGCGGCATAATATCAAACGAGTCAACGAAAATTCACGGTGGTACACAGGGTTTCTTTCTAGTTTTTGCTTTCAAAGTGTTCTATTTTCTGTCCATGTAATACCCCCCTCCCTCCTCCCCTTTTTTTTTTTACTCAAACACACTTTTTTCCTCCATGAAAAAAGAAATCAGTTCCCGACCTGTGCTAATTATAGTTTTGGCCATACCTCAGCTGTGGTCATTCATGCATTTCCACCAAGGGTGCTGTGGCCACCAAATCTGGGGGTTTTGGTTTTTTTGTTTGTTTTTTTGTTGTTGAGCCAAAACCCACTCGATTTAAAGCAAGTAGAGCGTCCGATAAATTGTGAAGCGGCCGTCGTTGTTGTAGACGCGCGTTGGCTGATTTTCGTTAAGTCTCTCTGGAGATTGCAATATCAACGTGATGGACTCCTGGCTCAAAAGGTTTTACGTCTCAGTGCCTTAACCTGTCCGTTGATCTTTCCGATTTTTAAAAGAAACAAACAATTAATAATGCCTATCCTAAACTGTTGCCAGGCAAGAGTAACCTACAGCACTGCAGTGTTAGAGTTTGATCCAATTGATTTGTGAAAAATCTATTAGTTGATTACCACGTACAATTTTCACGAATCATATAAATGATCTCATCATCTCTTCTGCATTTCGTCTACAGCCATTCATTTATATATTTTTTTCACAGCTTGAACCTTTTATAAGGCCCTCGCATTCAAAGTTAACACACATTCTACGACACATTACCTAACAAGGGTTTGTTCGAAGAGTCGTAGAGATATATAGGACCAGAGCAGGAGTCTGACGACTCATACTTTCTAAAAAACGCCTTCAGTATATTCTTTTGCGACAGCGGGACGAATTCCACGTTGCAGTTCCACGAACCGTGCAGGAATTTAATTTCAAGGTCAAGGAAGCTGCTCACGATGACAGTTCTACTGCAAAGGTTTCCAAGATGTTCGCTCTCTGGGGAGGAAAAAGCATTGCGGTAATTTTGTAATTAAGTGAATATTATACTGAACCGGGGCGACTCAAAAAAATTTGTGATGGATACGTCTCAATTTTACTTAAAGCAACTAATGTGGAGGAGAGACAGGCAAGTAGAAATGTATAAAAATACAAATATTCGGATAAGATAAGCCTGGTCGGTAAAAATAAGACGCCTGCCCCATCTAGGGGAGTGGGGGAGGGGTGTTGATGGTGGTGTCGATTTCCGTCCATGGTGGGCATTTAGCGGGTCCGGCATCAAATCATTAAAACTAACCACGTAACTTCTAGACTTTAGAGTTGCGGACCTTGTCCTGTTCCAGTTATTGATTATCTTAAATACACGGAGTCCTTTTTGTCTTGGCGAGACCATGGGGTGGCTATGTTATCGTCAGTCGGGAGTCAACCATGACCACTTTAATCATCAGATGTGTGCTAGTTCTGTCTGTGGGTGCACAGATAGCTGATTAGGCCGATTCCGGCACGAGATTTTCTTGTGCAGTAGGCGCAGTGCAATGGTAAGGCATCTCCGGGAACAGAGTCGGACCGGCTCTTGCGCTCTGCAGCCGCTGTTCTGCCAACGTCGTGTTGCACGGAGCTCTTGTTTAAAGTCGAACACCGTGATCTTCGATCATTTGCTTTTTCCTCCCTGGGCATATGTCGAGCGCTTTCATTGAGGCTTTTAGGTTGTCTTTAAAACGTTTATTCTGCCACCAACAGACCGCATTTCTTGTTCGAGCTCATCGTAGAAAATTCTTTTGGGGCAGACGGTCGTGTGACATTATCACATGTCCCGCTCAGCGAAACTAGGACGTCACTAAAATGTGCTGTGGAGACATGTCTGTCTGAGCACCTTAGTGCCTGGTACCCTGTCCTGCCATTTAATGTTGAGGATTTTTCTGAGTCATGCTATATGAAATCGGCTCAGCCTTCTTGCGTGGCGTTGGTATACCGTCCACGTTTCCTGGGCATAGAGAAGCGTAGGGAGAACAGCCGCCTAATATACTTTCAGTTTAGTTTGAGTGCTGATACTCCTCCTGGTCCATACGTTCTTAGTCAATTTCCCATAGGTTGCACTGGCTCTCGCAATATGGAGGTTAACCTCGTCATCGATGGTTGCGCTTTGGGACAGTGTGTTGCCGAGATTTGAAAAGCTATTCATCTCTTTAAATCTTTCGCCATACACTTTGATGTTGGGCTCAAAATAAGGTCTTTGAGGAGCTGGTTCTTATAGGACCTCAGTCATTTTTGTCTTAATGCAAAGCCCGAAGATTGCTTAAGCGTTTGAAAAGTTTGTGACGCTGCACTGCATAACCACTTCTGATGCAGCGTTTAGGGCACAGTCGTCGGTATACAAGACATCCCTGATGGTGTCTATCGTGACTTCCATTTTGGCATATTTTGGGGTTGAATAGATTATCGTCAGTTCGATATCTAAGGCCAATTTCAGCCTCTCCCTCTCTGAAGGCATTGGTCAGCATTGCGGAAACATGAGGCTGAAAAGTGTTTGGGCAAGTACACAGCCTTGTTGCACTCCATTATCCCGAACTCTAGCCTGCATACCATCATGGAATAGTCGTACCATTGACATGAACTTACTGAGGCATCCATAGTTGGCAATGATCTTCCTAAGGCCTTTGACAGTGTCGAGGATTTTGGTCAGGTCTACAAAGGTAGAGAAGATGTTAAAATTTTGTTCCTTGCATTTTTCCTGTAGCTGTCTGTTCGCAATCACCGTATCGGTTGTTCTTCATTTCTTCCGGAAGCCACATTGACTTTCTGGCAGTAGACCCTTCTCAAGATGCCAGTTAAGACGATTTAGCAAGATTCTGGCTAATATCTTGCCTACAATTGTGACCAGTAATATATAACGGTGGTCGTCACCTGATTGACAGTTCCTTTACGCTTGTACTCGTGAACAATAGATGCATGTTTTAAGTCCTGTGAAATGGTCTCTTGCTGCCACATAAGAATGAAAAGCTGATGGAGCCTTTCAGACAGAGATTTCCCCCTTTCTTTGTCTACTTCAGACGGGATTGCGTCATCACCTGGTTCTTTTCCGCTTGAGAGAAGGCATAGTGCATGTTGGGTCTCAGTTAGTATAAAAAGGAGGGGGGGGTCTTCCAATTCTTGATTAAACGCACCAGTATGAGACGATTTATGGCTTCATCATTGATAGATGATGGATGATGGATGATGGTCGATTCAGGATATTGCCAAAGTGTTCAGCCTAGCGTTCAATCATTTTTTTCCTTCTCAGTGAATAGAGGTTTCTCATCAGCACTCAGAAGGGGGGATGATCCTGATGAAGTGGGGCCGTAGACTGTTTTTGGAGTTGAAATTTTGTAGGTCATGTCGGTCAGCATAACCTCGGCCTTGTCACCAAACCATTTATTCTGCATTAGACACTGTTTCTCTTTCACCGTTCTTCTTATATTGTGGTACGCATCTTTCATTGGGACTGACATCGGGGTGTTTAGGGAAGCGTGTAGACGATGTTTTTCCTCTAGCAGTTGCTTGATTACGCCACCGTTATCATCAAACCAGTCCTGATGTTTTTTTCGAGCTTGGCCCCAGAAACTCCATGGCGGTGTTGTACAACATCGATCTAAGTGATGCCCAGATTGCTTTGACGTTGACATTTTCCAATAGTGTGAACTGCATACGTTCTTCCAGAGCGTCCACATGGGATTTCTTAATGTTGGGGCTTTTCAACTTTGTGGTATTTAGACGTTTGGGGATTTTTCCCTTTGGGCGTCTTTTTGGGATGTATGTGTAGGTTGAGCTTGGTGATAATAAGACAATCAATCCAGCATTCTGCACCACACAAAGACTTGTCTACACGGCCATCTTGACTGTCCTTCCTCCTGATGAGGTCATAGTCGATGAGCTGCCAATGTTTTGAACGAGAGGGTATCCAGGTCGTCCGATTACGAGTCGGAAGGCGAAATGTCGTATTAGTAATCAGTAGTTCATGCTCTGCGAATGGCTCACTAGGGCCAATCCTGGAATGGCAGTCTCGACTGAAATTTCTCGGTTTAAAAGACATGGACGCGGGGGGGTTAATGGGTCGCCCTGTAGATACGAGCACACACTAATGATTTGTACCAAACATACAACACGGCGTAACAGAACTGTCAACTGTTCACCACAGAGGAACGTCGTCACATAAGACTATTAGCACCATTGTATTTCAACTTACTGACATCACCAAGATCCACGTCCGTCACCTCGGAGTCGGCTAAGATCAAATCCGCCAGGATGACGTGCAAGAAGAGCGTACACACTCGCTGTTGCATTGCCTGAAAAAAGTCAAATTTAAATTTCGGATCACTGGTGTGTCATTACAATCACCCCATATGAATCCCCCCCCCCCCCAAGACTCCAATGAAAATTAAATAAACAGGATAGTGTTTTGTTTTGTCATAATTTTAATAAATATGTCCTTTAGAATTGAACACTGAAAAAAGTCAAATTTAAATTTCGGATCACTGGTGTGTCATTACAATCACTCCATATGAATCCCCCCCCCCCCAAGACTCCAATGAAAATTAAATAAACAGGATAGTGTTTTGTTTTGTCATAATTTTAATAAATATGTCCTTTAGAATTGAACTCCATTGAGTATGAGACTGAAACTATTTTTAGAATTTCAGTACTTTGAGTATGAGACTGCAACCATCTTTAGAATTGCACTCCGTGGATTATGAGACTGAACCCATTCTGAGAAGTGCACTCCATAGAATATGAGACTGAACCCACACGAAGAGGAGAGAACAAAACCAAAGGAAGAAGACGGCCGGTAGTGGAGTGTTTACAGTAAATGAACTCTAAATTATTCATTTACAAAATCACGTAAATGACGTCATTGCGCATTTTCTTAGCATTGGCCGTAAAATGATCATATCAATTTTAAGATGTGGAATTTCAGTTCATATAAACAGCTTGAGAGTAAGAGTAAGACATAAAAGATACTGAACTTTTTAATAAATGGACCACAATATGTCAAAGTAAATAACCAAGTATCTCTAACCAGAGAAATAAGCATCGGGGCACCACAAGGCTGCGTTCTCTCTCCTGTATCGTATACCATATATACAAATGATATTCAAAGCTCAAGCAACACCAATCCAATATTAAAATTTGCTGATGATACCACGATTGTTGGCTTACTATCTTAAGGAGAAGGCCTATACCGTAACTTAGTAACAAGCTTTATCAATTGGTGCGATGAAAATTTTCTCCAGTTGAATGTCTCAAAAACAAAAGAAATGGTTGTTGATTTCAGGAGGGGGAAACACCTGATTACAGATCTCAACGTAAAAATTAAAATGTGGAGAAAGTGGAGGTGTACAAGTACTTAGGTGTAACCATTAATAATAAGCTAACATGGCATGAGCACGGCCAAATCCTGTATAAAAAATTCAATCAAAGACTGTTCTACCTCAAAAACCGTACAATTTTGGCGTAAACAAGCAAGTCGTTAACTTATTCTACAGTGCAACAATTGGAAGCCTGCTTAATTTCAGTATTGCCTGCTGGTGTGGGAATTCATCGTCTGATATTAAACACCGCATAAACCGATTAATCAAGAAAGCTAGGAACATAACACAAACTTAGCATCCTTCACGGGTCGGGCCGTTCGGGACGAATTCTTTCCATCAGGGCGAGGACTGACCGATATAAAAATTCTTTTGTTCCCCAATCTGTACGAATTTACCGGCGTGCTTCCTCTGAAGTCACACATCTGAATGAGAACTAATAAGTCCCCAATTTTGCTAAGAGAACTCACTGAATGGCCGTTTGAAAAAAATTATTATAAATGTCTTGTGTTCAAATTGTTTTATTTTTGTGCTGAAAATGAATAATGCAATCAAAAAAACTTCCATTCATTTGGATCAATAAATGAATCTTATCTTATCTTATTTTATAAGCTTATGACTTCTCCTTCTTCTATATCTTAAGTCTTAAGGGCCCACGATCAATTTATTGATCATTTTTGACTTATGATACTCAACAATAATTGTCACCTCTTTCAGACACGATCTCAAAAGATTTCATTCAAACATTGGCGAGACGGGAATTTCAAGGAAACTCTGGATGTCCCGTCATTTTCATAGAGTGTAAAACCTTTATATTTAAATTACTTAATGTATGGACATTTATACTAACCATCTCTTATATATATTTTTGCTTCCGGTGTGACTGTTTCCATTTCCGGATAGCGCTAAACCTATAATTCCCGATAACTACGCTGGATGATTTATTTTTAAATAACGCGACTGCGTTTGGTGCGTAACATTTTCCTTTTCGCAAAATTAAATCGCCTCAGTTTCACTATGGTGTAATAATTATTCGGTTTAAAAGGGTTGGGACATCAGGATATTTAATATAGTTCATGGGCGTAAAATAAAAAGTTTGCAGTGATGTATCATTAGGGGAAAGGGGGGGGGGTAGCGAAAATTGGAATTCTTTAATGTGCGTTACTGGAGTTCATGTTTTGTCAAGTCACTTTAATAGATGGGACGTTCACGCATTGCTATACCAACTAGTAATAGATAGTTCGACTTCTACCTGTTAAACCCTCTATATTAGCTTCACTTTTGTTTGTGGCTGTCGGGCAAAAATCTTCGAGTGGCTCATTAACCCACTTCCCGTCATCCTATCGCTCTGAAACTTGACAAATACACCCCTCGTCGACGACAACATTGCCTATCAATTTTTCAGCCCGACCTCAAAAAAATCAGTTTTCGTTTTTTTCAAGGGGAAGGTAAAGGGAATATTATGACACCGATTTCACTAAATAAAATTCCCGATAAAGGCGCTAAGTGAGATTCTTTTTAAAAAAAAAAAATCGTATTTACGTTTGGTGCGTAATATTTTAATTTTTTTATTTAAGTCTGTTACCACATCATCAGTCCATATCAATTTTTGCGGGCTCTTTGGCTTTCTTTCTCTTATTTCTCTCTGTAGATCACTTTTACCCCTTTATACCCATGCATCATATTATACAGGCGAGCCTTCTTTCTCTTTTTTGTCCCTGTATATCACCTTTACCCCCTTTATACCTTGGCATTCAGTCGAGATGTCCTGTTCGGCAGCACAGCCTGCCATTTTTTTGGTTAAAATTGACACGATTTTGGATGGTTCTTCAAAGCAACTGATAGATCTCTAGGTATGTACCAACGCTCCACATCCATCATTACGGTATCCCATACAGGACTGCATAGTTTTCACGGGATTTCCTCTCCCCTTTATTGATCAGGTTTTTTACTTTCTTGATGAAGAAAAATGCTTATTGTTTGAAATACAAGCGTAACACATTTTTTTTTCATTTTACACTTTAAGCTTCTAAGACATTTTTGACTTCTGATTAAGACAAACATTAAGACAAACTTTAATGATAACGGATGGAAAGTTGTTTCGTTTTTTATTTTATTTTAGCATTTCATTCTTACATTTTATTTTGTAAAAACTACCTTGCACTTTCATTAATTAAAAAGCAAGCATCATCAAACGATGTAATTAAATTTATACTTCGATTCTGATTCTGATAGACTACGTTGCTGCAACCGGCATATGTGCAACGGTTTTGGGAAACGATGCTGCCATCCTAACGGCTCCTAGCGGGTGCCAGGGCGGCCCTTGAAACTCTTGATTGATGACGAGTCGACGGCGGTATTGTCCAGTTGGCGAGTGAAAAAAAATGGTTGATGTAGCTTTAGCTTGTTATTGGTTTAATTTGCTGAATAATAAACTCATTTTATAAGACCAGGATGTTTCATTACCAAAGATTCACCTTTGTACAATTAGTATTTATTAAATACTCATTTTAAATTTACCAAACGCACCACAGGCAGATAATTAACGGGAATTTCCGTTCCGATGTGGATTCTGCGCACATTTTAGATCGGGTGTTGAGCGTTTCTAGGATTGCGTTTTTCTTCAGCGTAAAAAAACAAAACAACACAATAACAACATAATCAGAATGTTTAACACAATGCAGATAAGTAAGCAATATGGTAAAATGAATAGGCTAGGATATAGAACAGTGAAGTAAATTAAAGTTTGCAAAATTTGGCTCAAATTGTCATTATTTAAAATTGGCGAGACATATTTTACCCATTCTATTTTTATTTGTAAATAGCTCTTCCACACTCTCTCTCTCTCTCTCTCTCCCCCTCTATATCTATCTATCTATCTATCTATCTATCTATCTATCTATCTATATATCTATCTATCTATCTATCTATCTATCTATCTATCTATCTATCTATCTATCTATCTCTCTGTTTGCTCTTTATCTCAGTCTCTATCTCTCTGTCTCTCTCAGTCTCTCTCTCTCTCTACCTCTCTCTATCTCTGCCCCACAAACAAACACAGACTAGCACAAGCACGCACACAGATACACTCAATTACTCACTCTCCAAACAGCCTCAAATAAATGAGAAACGCGATAAATATGCTACTGGCCGCACCAAACATTTTAGACATTCAGTAATGCGTTGCAGGATATCCACACAAAAAACAAGGATCTAAATAACAGCTTCAGAGCAGTTTTTGTTGAAATTTTTAAAGAGCGTAACACGCAATACTTTTTTTCTTTCTTTTCATTGTAGACTGATAGGATTTTTTTTTACAAGATCGCATCTCTCCCTCACCTTCAGTTGGACAAAAGAACCCCGAAAAATAAGTTTTTTTTTTTTTTTAAAGAAAGAAAAACACAATATGGTGAAACAATTATTGGTGAAATCCATCTGTTGTCATTCCAAAAATCTCACCATTCACCAATGAAGTCTGATGTCTCCAGTCTATTGCCTTTGATCATCATCCTGGATTTGTCTTCTGTCAGTGTTTCGTCAGATATAATCTTAATAGACACGGGTAAGTCAACTGAGGGACTAAAAACACCACCAAGAGAACACTTCTAAACATGAGGCATTATGCCAAGACCATAGTTTATTAAACAAATCTGTTGTAGGTTGGGTTAGGGTTGGGGTTTGCGTTAGGGTTAGGGTTAAGGTTAGGTTTAGAGTTCGGGTTAGGATTGTGTAATTTTTTTTTTAAATTTTTAGCTAGGCGGGCTACCAATTGGAAAACAATTTCATTTCTTTAACAGACCAAAAAAAAATTTCCTAGTTTTGTTAGTAACAGCAATTGTGTATTTTATTGAGAAAACTATTATAAAATTTCATAAAATGAATGAAACAGAATAGGGTTAAACCTGAAAAAAAGAAACGCAACAAAACAACGAACGTGTCGGAAGAAAGCCTTCGTCAGCGAACAAAACAACAGAAAAAAGGTATAAAATAAAATAAGAGATATCACTTAGCTTGGACGTAGTATCCTTGGGCTGCAAAGGAAATTTCACTGCGTCGAGTACATGGTCAAACCGCGGTACACTATCTGCTTTCACCATTGGTAGTACAGAAATTTAATCTGATCTTTTAAATAAATGTACTCTTTTTTTCCCCACAGGCGATGCCCTATGCAATAAGAAAGTAGTCGTGAAGAATACATTTGAAATCAAGATTGACCACAGATGGACCACCAGCCTGTGCACCATGACCCTGGTCCCACACAAGGAGACTAACACGCTACAGGCGTTCTTCGTGGCCTACACCATCCACAAATCTGCGACAAATTGTAAAACTGGGGCCATCTACATCTACGACTCCCAGGAGAACCCTCTCTTAGGTAGGTACTAGTAAAACTGGGGCCATCAAGACTCCCAGGATAACCCTCTCTTAGATAGGTACTAGTAAAACTGGGGCCATCAAGACTCCCAGGAGAACCCTCTCTTAGGTAGGTACTAGTAAAACTGGGGCCATCAAGACTCCCAGGAGAACCCTCTCTTAGGTAGGTACTAGTAAAACTGGGGCCATCAAGACTCCCAGGATTACCCTCTCTTAGGTAGGTACTACTAAAACTGGGGCCATCCGCAATCAAGACTCACAGGAGAACCCTATCAGAGGTACGTACCAGTAAAACTGGAGGCCCTCTGCAATCGAGGCTCGTGGGTCACATTTTAATACATACACATTCTCTCAAGATATAGCTTTATGTGACTCACACCAATAATAAGACATACTAGTATCAGACACGTACAGCTGTAGGTATATCCCGCCATTAAACAGACATACTATTAAATGATTCTTATGGCTGTGGGTATGTAGTGTTAGATACGCTAACAATCGTATTTGTCATTCGCTCTCGGCTCATTCACGTGGATTGTGTTGCCCTGTTGGCATCCAGCTACTTGCTTACCATGAAGTAAAATCTGGTTTCGTCGACCACACGAAACAGATCACAAACAATGTATGCAAAAACTAAAAAAAAAGATGATGTCAAACTATTTGTTAGGAAAGAAATAAAAACATCACATAATTTTAGCATTAGTATCCACGGTGGTTTTACTTTTGGAGAGAAATCGTCATGATGATAAATGCAAGGATTGTTGGCATTTCAGTTATTGTTAACATTTCAATGATTTTTGGCGTAGCAATGATTGTTGTCATATCAATGATTGTTGTCATTTAAGTGATTCTTGTCATCTCAATGCTTGTTGGCATATCAATGATTGATGTCAAAGCAATGATTATTGGCATTTCAGGGATTGTTGTCATTTCAATGATTGTTGTCATATTAATGATTTTCGTCATATCAATGATTGTTGGGAATTCAATGATTGTTTGGCACGTCAATGATTGTTGTTGCAATGTTTTTCAGGTGAGCACGGGTACTGCGGACCATCCTTCCCGACGGCACGGTTCAATCTGGGTGAGAATGGAATGATCACTCTGAAGAAATCCACGTACAACAACAACCTGAAGGCAAGGATTCGGGTCGTGGAGTACTACGTGAAGAACGAGTGTGAGTCGAAGAACCCTTTTTTTTTGACCGGGGGTGGGGGGTGGGTTGGCGAGAGACGGGGTCGTCACGACGCGTCTGAGTCATTGGGCTGTCACGGTAAGCTTGTGACAGGGGTTTCTGTCGGGACAGGTTTGGGACAGGGCCGCCATAAGTTATATTGAGATTTGGGAGGTCCATCAGTCATATTTTCACAGAACGTAAAAAGGGGGGGGGGCGCATGCATGGTGGCAGCTGTTCAGGGCATGGCGCCCTAGAAAGGACCACAATTAAAACGCGTTTTACAAAGATATAATTGATATTTTTGTTGCATTTCACGTTAATTAGTCCTTTGATTATTTTATCAAAGGGGGGGGGGAAGGGGGG